ATGGACGTCCGAGCGACGGCAAGCAGGGTGCCCTGGGCTTCACGGGCTTCTCGCTGTCTCCGGCGCTCCCGCACCGAACATCCAGGGGGGGACGTCCTGGGGTCTCGGGGCTGGGTCTCTTGTGGAGGGTGTCCTGCGGTCGAGCTCCTGCTGTACGTGCCCTGCCTTGTCCCCGAGGCCACGGCCCCATCGATCATGCTCCGATGAGGGGGAGGAGGCGGAGGAGGAGGAGGGAGGAGGAGGAGGAGGAGGAGGCGGAGGAGGAGGAGGAGGAGGAGGAGGAAGAGGCGGAGGAGGAGGAAGAGGCGGAGGCGGAGGCGGAGGAGGAGGAGGAGGAGGAGGAGGAGGAGGAGGAGGAGGAGGAGGAGGAGGGCAAGGTGGAGGAGCCCGCTGCGTGGTCGCCTCGCCCCCGGGACGGCGCTCCTGGCCTGCCGGTCGTCGTCTCGTAATATGCCTTGCGGTCCCAGCTGCCGCGGGGGGTGCGGCAGGCTCGCGTCGTGCCGAGGCGACGGCGACCCCAGCGATGGCATTCGAGGTGGAAAGCTGCCAGCGGCCCATCCTCCCCCAATACAGTGGAGGCCCATGCCAAGAAGCACCCTGCTTGCCTCCAGGGTGCCCTGGGTTTCTTGGGTTCCGATGGTTCTGCCGTGGAAGGCGTGACGCTTCCGTTCCAGAAATCAATGGACGTCCTGGGGTCTCAGGGTTGGGTTTCTTGCGGGAAGTTTCTTGTGGACTGGTCTCCACTGTATGGAATTCTAGGTCTCCCAGATGGGGTCCGAGCAACGATGGGGTCCGTCGCGCCGCATTGCCAATGCATCGACGATGCGGCTCGAGGCGGAGACCGTGCTTCCCCATCGCCGACGTCGCCGATGCATCGCCGATACATCGCCGATGCATTGGCGATGCGGCACGATCCTTCGACCCCGTCTACTCGGACCCCCTCTAGGAGGCCTCTAGGAGCGATCTGGCGATCGCAGCACCGCCGATTCGTGCGAGGGCGAACGGTCCACGCGAGGTCGGGAGTCAGCGCCGAAGTCGTCACGACACGAACCCGGCCCGCAGAATGCCGCCCCCCTCGCGCGGGAGAGAGCTTCCAGCGAGGCTGCCCGCCTGGCGGCAGGCGAGGCGGTGCGGCTGGCGCTTGGCGTAGCCCGGGCCTCAAGCGCGCCCTCCACGTCCTCGTCTCGGGGGCCCCCAGCTGGTGCAGCGACCATATCGTGTGTTGAGGAGGAAGAGGACAAGGAGGAGGAGGAGGAGGAGGAGAAGGAGGAGGAGGAGGAGTAGAAGGAGTAGGAGTAGGAGTAGGAGTAGGAGTAGGAGGAGGAGGAGGAGGAGGAGGAGGAGGAGAGGAGGAGGAGGCGGAGGAGGAGGAGAGGAGGGAGGAGGAGGAGGAGGAGGAGGAGAGGAGGAGACGTCTCGGGCCACTATAGCCTCTAGGGGGGAGGAGGGGAGGAGGAGGAGAGGAGGGAGGAGGAGGAGGAGGAGGAGGAGGAGGAGGAGGAGGAGGAGGAGAGGAGGAGGAGGAGGAGGAGGAGGCGGAGGAGGAGGAGGAGGAGGAGGAGGAGGAGGAGGAGGAGGAGGAGGAGGAGGAGGAGGAGGAAGAGGAGGAGGAGGAGGAGGAGGAGGAGGAGGAGGAGGAGAGGAGACGTCTCGGTTCGCGAGAGGGCCTCGCGGCCGTCATTCTGGCGGATCCAGGTCCGTCGGTTTCTGTCCCAGGCCGTTTTCGCTTAAGGAGAGGTGTAGTACAGGGAGGTTTGTCCTCCGCCGATCTGGGAGGGCCTGGCCCCGCCAGAGGCTTCGCAGAAATTGTTGGCAGCTTCGGGGAACCGTCGGCTCAGCAAAGCCATAGGAGCCCGGAGGAAGTCCATAGGATTCCGGAAGAGATCCATCGAATTCCGTAGGAGATTCATGGGATTACGTGGGACACCCACAGGATTTTTTCGGACATCCATGGGATTCCTCAGGAAATCCATCGGATTCCTAAGGGATCCTATGGAGCGGGGAATTGTCGGCTTCGTAAGTTCGGCTCCCTGAGGGTACAACCCCACGCCGTTCGTAGTTTCGCAGTCTCGCAGCTGCCTTGACATACGTTGTCGCTCGGCACTGGGCCACCTAAGCTAAAAAGTAGGACAAATGATGGAGGGGATGGCCGAACACCTAATGTCTGAATATCCTTGAACAGGCTTTCCGAACAACCAGATACTGTTGAACAAAGAGTGTCAGCCAGCGTGGACCCCCACAATCGATTTTTTGTGATCTATGCGGTGCCACTTACGTGGTGCAGTCACTGTGGTGCGATCTGGGTCGTGCCATCCATGTGGTGCAATCTACGTGGTGCAAAGCAACGCAATGCAAAGTCATGCAATGAACTGCAATGAGATGCACAACAATACAACGCGATGCACGAAATGCAACGCAATGCAGCACAATGCAAATCAATGTAATTCGACGCAACGTATTGTGAAGCAGTGACAAGAAATGCATTCCAATGCAACTCGATACAAAGCAATGCAACGTAATGCAAGCCACAGCACAGGAATGCAAAGCGGTGCAACGCACACCAAAGCAGATCTGTGCAGCACGATGCAGAGCAGTGCGACTCCATGCCAGGCAGCGCAACGCGGTGCAGAGCCGTGCAGAGAACCCTGCACGTCACGTCTCGCTCGTCTGTCGTCCGTCGCTCGTCTGTCGTGTCGTGCCGCTGGGCTCCGTCTGCGCTGGTAAAACAGTGCGCCGCGCAGTGCGCCGCAGTGCGCACCGCAGGGCACCGCGACGCAGAGCGGCGCGGAGCGCCGTGCAGAGCAGTGCAGCGCGCAGCGCACAGCAGCGCGGCGACGGGCGGCGACGGGCCGCAGGCCGGCCACACCGAGACCCGCACTGGGGACCCTCACAGCCACCTTCTCGGGCCCGGGGTTGACAGCGGTGCCGGGCGGCGACGGGCGGCCGAGCGAGAGGGAGGAGGGGGAGGAGGAGGAGGGGGAGGAGGAGGGAGGAGGAGGAGGAGGAGGAGGAGGAGGAGGAGGAGGAGGAGGAGGAGGAGGAGGAGGAGGAGGAGGAGGAGGAGGAGGAGGAGGAGGAGGAGGGGAGGGAGGAGGGGGAGGGGGAGGGGGAGGGGGAGGGGGAGGGGGAGGGGGAGGGGAGGGGGAGGGAGGAGGAGGGGGAGGAGGAGGAGGAGGAGGAGGAGGAGGAGGAGGAGGAGGAGGAGGAGGAGGAGGAGGAGGAGGATCGCACGCCACTGAGGGTAAAGGAGGGGGGGAGAGAAGTCCGACAGTCCGATCACTCTTCCTCCCAGATGGGCCCATCCAAGTGGACCTTTGTCGAGCACAGGCAGGACGGCCAAAGACCTGCCCATGGCCCGCGACAGGGCCCCCCTGGAGGATCTTTTGGCCGTCTGAGTCAGCATCGAGGCCCTGCTCTTCAGGGCGCTCGCTCCATTCTCCAAGTGCTCGCGCTTCGAGCTTGCTTAGCCCAAAGGCTTCGATACCTCTACCCCCCGCCCGTTTTCCCTTTTTGGGGCCTCCTGGGAGGCCCTCGTCGCCAACGCTTGATTCGCCCCGAAATCCTGGTCAGAACGCACCCTGGGAGAGGTTTGGGGAGTAGCGGTATCGGAACCTTTTGGTTCCCCCACGTTTGGGGAATACAAGCGCTACTGCCACCAGAACGAAGTCCCGGCTCAAAAAGAGGCCCAGCGATGGGGCAGGACGCTAAGGAGGCCCCACTGATTGGCAAATCAACTCCTTGAACGGTTTCGCGTGTGAGTTCCATTCGGAGCGAGAACCGACTGCTTGATGCCATCCCGAGTATCCCTGCATGTGCAGCATACCGCCGCAGCGCGGTCTCCCGCTCCATCCATAGGCGACGCACCGGTCGAATAGGCCTGTCGTAAACGTTGTCCATGGCAGCTGTCCAGGGACCTCTGAACACCTGCCAGAGACCTCTGACTACTCCCGAAGTCTAGGTGACTCCAAGTGGCGCGAGGACGATCTCGCTTCTGAGATTTCCAGGATCATTTTTCAGTCTATATATATATATATATATATATATATATATATATATATATATATATATTAGGTAGCCCCCCCCACATGATCATACATATTTCTTTTTTTGCTACTCCTCTTCCTCGCGCGCTCTGGGGGGGGAGGGCCTGGGGCTTCCTGGGGCTTCCTGAGGCCTCCTGGGCTTCCCGAGTCTTCCGAAACGCTTCCTGGGGCTTCCCGAAGCCTCCTTGGGCTGCCGAAACACTGCCCTGGTGAAAAACGCTGTGTTTTCCTGATATTCCTGACCTTCCCAGGGATTACCCCTGAGAAAACGCTGTGTTTTCCTGATATTCCTGATGTTCCTGGCATTTCCAGAGACTACCCAGGCGCCGAGGCCTCCTGGGGCTGCCGAAACATTGCCCTGGTGGAAAACGCTGTGTTTTCCTGATATTCCTGACCTTCCCAGGGATTACCCCTGAGAAAACGCTGTGTTTTCCTGATATTCCTAATATTCCTGACATTTCCAGAGACTACCGTGAGCCTGCAGGGTAGTCTCTAGAAGTGTCAGGAATATCAGGAATATAAGGAAAACATTACATTTTCTCAGGGGTAATCCTTGGGAAGGTCAGGAATATCAGGAAAACACAGCGTTTTCCACCAGGGCAATGTTTCGGCAGCCCCAGGAGGCCTCGGCGCCTGGGTAGTCTCTGGAAATGTCCGGAATATCAGGAATATCAGGAAAACGCAGCGTTTTCTCAGGGGTAATCCCTGGGAAGGTCAGGAATATCAGGAAAACACAGCGTTTTTCACCAGGGCCATCTCTGGGAAGATCTTGGAAATCTGGAAAATCTGGTAAACGGTATTTTTTCAAGAGCAGGAGGATGATAATCAAATCGTGTAGCTTCAACAGGGCAGCGTTGGCCGTCGGCTGCCCCCTCTCTGCGGAGTGGCAACCCACTCAGCGGCCTCCAGCCGCAAACGCAGATGCCGCGCGATCGTCGCTCTCTACAGCGTCGACCATCACTGGCGCGCCGCCGTCGGCTGGCCATCCGTCGAGCTCGCCGCGGCGGTGCCAACTACCCCGTCCTCGTCGAGAAGCTGCGCCAACTCATCCTCGATGGACGAGCGCCTCTTCTTGGGGGTCGGCGTGCTCAAATCGATGACGCCGCGACCCTCTGCGCTCTTGAGCCGAAAGCGGAAAGCCCCTGGCTCTCGCTTGATGGGCACCTGAGCCGCGGGCGGCGCCGAAGCGGCATCCGTTGCGGGGGGGGCCTCGTCGCCGTCCATCCCGCCGCCGAAGCCGAACACGTCTGGTTCTTCGGCTGGGTCGGCGGCGGCGCCCGCGCCCGCGCCGTGGCCGAAGGCTTCGTCATCTTCATCTGGGTTAACTGGACGGGCGGGCGCGGGGGCCGCGGCTGCGCTGGCGACGTCCAAGTCAATGTCCAAATCTGGGAAATTGTGCCTCGGGGGCGCTTCCTGGTTGAAAAGCATGGGGCCGCGGACCGTCGACGAACGCCCGATGTCATCGCCGCGGGCAAGTTTCTTCATGGCGGCCACGGCCCACTTCATGGTCACGTCGTAGTCGGGCGGCGCGAAAGTCTGGTCCTTCTTGAAGCGCTTCAGGATAGGGGTGGTCTCGGGCGTAAAGAGGTCTGGCTTCTCTGGAACTGGCCATGGGAAGCGGGGTACTGGATCCTTTGTCGTGGACGCCAAACGCATGTACATCCAGCCCTCAGTGAGAAGCACTATGTTGGACCTCGCGAGGTACGCCTCCACGTCCGCCATCTGGTAGCTCCCCTGCTTCTCGCCAACGAAATTGCATTCGATGATTTTGAGGAAGTCTGCGAATGCGACCTCTTCCTTGTCAAGGCGGATGGAACGGACCGACCTCTCGAACTCGTCATTGTACGGGTTGACGCAGATCTGGCGAGACTGGTTCTGCCCGAAGGAGGCGCCGCCCCACCTGCGCGGCGCGCGGACAACGGCGCAGATCAAAACGTACAAGAAACAATGGTCGTTGTTGTGTGTTTCGTGGTTTCTTTTTAATGGCGCGCGTTGTCTGCGCCCTGCCGCCTCGCCCACAGCAGCGCGTCCTCCTCGGCAGGGTCGAGGAATGCCTTGATCTCGTCGGGGGGGCACTTCGCGAGGACAGTGTCGTCCGCGATCGCGGGCTTGAACGCGGCCCCAGGCTCGAGGCGCAAGAAGTCGATCTTCTTGGTCGCGACAATGCTCGGGCGGAGGTCGGCACGACCTCTCTTGTCTATTTGGTAGGCTGAGATCGCGAAGCCGATGGTCTTCGACGCAGTGGATTTGCCGACCCTCGTTTTGCCGATCCACATGGTCCCGTGCACGTCGTGGCTCTTGAGGATGGGGGCAACGATGTTGTCGAACACGAATGGGTGGAAGCGCTTGAGCGTGACCGCCCAACGCTCGAGTGTCTTCGCACCAACAGAACCCGCGGCGTAATTGCGGAGCGACTCCTTGACTTCAGACGCTTGCCAACCGAAGATCGGCGAGCTCTCGTCGTGAATCATCTCGTCGGTCCACTCCACGAACTGGTTGCGGTTGTTCGCCTTCGGGCCGTACTCCTATGAAACGGAAGCCAGCCGTTCGTTTTCCCTTGTCGTAGCCGCCGCCCGCAATGGCTGCGACCGCGGACGGCTGGGCCCAATGGCGGATCTGCACCCCGCCCAACCTCTCCATCATGTAAAGGAAGAGCTTGAGCGGCGTATGTATGTCTTTCGAGTTCCCCCAATGGACGGAGAGCGCCGTGCCCGCGACGAAGATCTCCTTGGCGATGTCGGTCCGAACCTTGTCCTGGAACCTGACGTACTTGAGGACGTACTGGTCGCCGTTGGGGTCCTTCGGCAATATGTAAAACTGCATGGTAAAAGCGAGTTCTCCTGGGTCCTTGTTCGGCTTGAATGGCGCAGGCAGCGCCATGTAGTTACCCCCGCACATGGCGTCGTACACGTCGACGCTGTCCAAGTGGTCCACGGCGCCATCCTCCACTGCCACCCAGTCCACCAAATGCTTGATGGTCACAGATTGCTCCGCGCACTGGAGAGGCATGTCGCGGAGGCAAAAGGCAGCGGGCGGGTCGGACTGGAAGCGTTCGGGCTTGCCCAGCTGCTTGTACGTCTGCGCCGCCGCCATGTGCAACCACGTGTTTTTGATCTGGTCGGTGCAAGACGCATCGCCGCCGATGATCTCCCCCATGGACTTGACGCCGCCAGCCGTGAGGCTCGCCATTGCACGCAGCGGTCGCACGCAGGAGCTTGGGGCAACACTTTAGCGGACGTCACTTGAGCCGCTGGCGGCGACGACGAAAGGGCCGCGAGAAACGCCAGAAAACGCTCGCAACTAAACGCTGCCCCGCCAGAGACTCTCGGGGCACCGTGAACCACCTTGGACCAATCGTTGTTTTGGGCTGTTCTGGGGCGAGCGAGCCGCGCCCCGCTGGGTCTATCGCTGGGCGAAGCTCTCGATCAGCAGAGTGGCAAACATGGGGGGGCCGACGATGGGGGGGGGACATAATGGGAGCACGAAGGAGATTTTCATGACGACGGCACTGGTGAATGCAATTGTTTTCGCTAGTATTGACGTCAAGAGTTAACGAGCCAATCCTGCTGGCCAGTGCCCTGCTCTTGGGCTTCATGCACATCGCGCGGCTCAATCGGGGCAGGCAGTTTGGAATCGATAAGTATCTATACTCACGGAGGGGCAGCGTTGGCCGCTGGCTGCCCCCCGCCGAAGTGGCCGCCCGCTCACTCAGTCACTGCAGGCGGCGGCGCAAGCCGCGGGGGCCGAACAACGGCCCCGCGTGCATGCGGCGGTTCGGCTGCGCGCCGCCCACCTCGGTCGTGCCAGCCCCAGCGGCGGCGTGGGAGGGGGAGGGGGGGCGGGCAATGGGGGCGGGGATATGGGCGCGGGTGGCAATGACAATAACAATAGCAGCCGCCGCGGCATCAATGGAACTCGCAGCGGCAGTTGCAGCGGCAGAAGCAACGTCGCGGCAGCAGCTGCAATAGCGTATCAAGGACAATGGCTAGTACCGCGATCACCGATCGATCTCCGCCGCCGAGATATGCCCGACCGCCCCCAAATCATCGGCCGCGCGCGCGGGCGAGCGCCCCGCGTCAAAGACCGCTGTGCGGTGGGGGGGGGGGGGGGGGTAAGCCGAGCGACTGCTGCACGATCCATTCCATCCTTTTCCACGTGGTGGACCACTCGGCCTCCGCCGCGTCGTACCAGTGCGGGTAGTCGGTGGAGGTGAGCGCCACGGTGCACGTGCGGTCGCGGTCATCGTGGTGCATGCACTCCGCCACCACTTCGAAGCAGCGGTACTCGCGGACAAGCGCGTCGCCGACTGCGGGGTCGCCCGACACCCACAGCGGGCCCGCGAAGCCTGGCGCCAAAAAGGGGATCCCACTTTTCTGGAACTGCATGAAGTTGGGCCAGAAGCACACGGTGAACTTGTCCTGGGGCCAACCGAAAGCACACTGCTCACCGCCCCAATGCGAAGTTGGGCGGTGGGGGGTTCAATGATAAATCAAAAACAAATAGCACCGCCCGTGTATACGCAAAGAAAAACCAACGCTGGGTCCCCGCCGCCCCTGTCCTCGCCCGCGGCCAGGCGCTGAGACTGCGCAAGCCCAATCTTGCGCCACGCTGAGTCGGGCGGCATGGGGCTGCCAGGCGCGACGTTCTGGATGAAGGCGTACTCGAAAGCCATGGCTTGAGATGTGCCGTGGGCTGGTGGCGGGGCAGGAATGCCAAGTCACTCTGAGGGAGCCCAAACAGCTACGAACAGACGGATGTCAGCAAGGACGTTGTCATTGCTGCGAGGTGGCAAGGCTGGCGACGGCACTTGTGAATGCAACTGTTTTTCGCTAGCGGGCGGTCCATATCAGCGGTGAGAGCGTTACCACACATTCTAAACATATGCTTATATCTTTCAGCGGAAGCGGGGGCAGCGACGGCCGTTGGCTGCACCCCGCGCTGGCGGAGCATGCCCTCAGTACGCCGAGTCCATGACCTCCCAGATAGCGTTCGCGGTCGCCGCCCACAGGTCCTCGCCCCTGTTCCAATATTCGAACTGGGCCGAGCGAACAGAAGCCGCGAGATGCCTGCTGCCTGGAGGGTCTGACCGCGTGCCGATGAGGGTCTTGCGCGGTCGATAATCTGGGTCCCCGCCTTGACCCTGCTCGTGGAACCGTCGGGCAACTTGTGGGTAACAACCTTCGAGTAGATGGGCTTCAACCACACCCACTTCCCGCCGATCTTCTTCCGCTTCTTGCAGTGCACCACGTTGTCGTGCACGAGGCCCGACGCGCGCATCTTGTAGCTGCGGGCTCCGTCAGAGTGCAGGATCACTTTCCTGTCCTCCAGGCGGCCCTTCAGGAAGGGCGCCCAGTCGGTCTTTTTGATGGCGCCTGGGCCTGGCGCGTCGGCCACGGTGCCGTCGGACTGGGTCTTCCACAGAACAGGGCTCTCTGGGCGCCCGCGCTCGACGACGCCCGCCTACTGCTCCCACGTCTTGGAAAGGCCGTCATCGGAGAGCTGGGCGCGGAAGACCGACTCGTCCGCCTCAACGTCGAACCAGCGCCTCTTGGCGTGGTCGCCGAAGACAATGTCCTTCTCTTTCCTCTCCACGTAGGTCTGCCGCACGACGGCCATGGCCCTGCTCATGTCCTCCACCATCCTGTGGTTGACTCCTGTCAACAGGTGTATCTGGGCGGTGGTCATGCCGAGCGTGAGGCAGAAGAGGACCTTTGCCTTCGTCGACAAACTTGACGATTGGCGGCCGCCGCCAGACTTGAATACAGGGTGGGCAAAACGCGGGTGCACGGTGTTGCCGCACAGCCTCCCACTGTTGCACCGCCAATACGGGCCGCGGCTGTCATCCTGCACCCGCGCGCCCAGGGTTCCGACGCCGCAGTGCGGGCAGGTACGGCCTTCCCAGTCAAGCAAGACGCCGTCTTCGAGGAGCATGTCGACCATCTGGTCCGCAGTTTTCCCGAAGAAATCGTCGTAAGTGCGGGGCCACGTCTCGCGCTCCTTGCGCGATTTCTGGGTCTTCTTGCCGTGGCGCACATACTCGACCTTCTTGTTCTCCTTCTCCCGGTGCTGGCTCATTCTGTCCTTGCCCCTCTTGCGCAACGGAAACGGCCTGAACACTCCCGCAGGCTTTTTCTTCGGCGCGGGGGCGGCGGCGGGGCGCTTGATCGCGCTCTTCCCCATCGCCGACGGGGGCAGAGCGGTGGCTTAGACGGTCGGTCCAGCAAATGCGCACTGAGCCAACATGGGCTGCGGGGGGGCGGCATCGCTGTCGATGAATGGATGAGGGCATCCAACTTTTCGGATGCCCCCTATCCCTGCAAGGGGCCCAACTGTTTCCTGTTTGCCGCCTTTGGTGTGATGTGGCTGCGTTACGCCGCTGTTTCTGTCAGCTGTTTCCGTTGTCGTTTCTGTCGTGGCGGCATCGCTTTCGATGAGTGGATGAGGGCATCCAACTTTTCGGATGCCCTTGATCCCTGCACGGGGCTCAGCTGTTTTCTGTTTGCCGCCGTCGGTCCGCTTTCTTGCTGCGTCCTGTCGCTGTTATGTCGGCTGTTTCCGTTATTGTTTCCGCGGTGGTGTTGTCTCTGAACGACCGATTGTCAACGTCGTGGTCGTTGCTGTTCTGGTTTTCTGTTTGCCGCCGTCGGTGCGCTGCTGTGGCGTTGCGTCGTTGTTTCCGTTGGATGGCTGCGTCGTTGTTCCTGCTGTGTTGTTGTTTCTGATTGACCTTGCGTTGGTGTCTGATTCGCCGTTACGTTTGCCACCGTCGGCGCGGTGTTGTTGCGTCGTGTCGTTGTTCCTGTCGATTGTCTGCGTGGCCGTTTCTGCTGCGTTGCTGTTTCTGATTGATCTTGCGTTGGCGTCGTTGTTATTATTTGTTGTTGTTGTTGTTGTTGTAGTTTCCGTGCGCCGCCCCTCTCCGCTGCCTAGCGGGGTCGCGGCCGCCTCCTTCCCCCAGGCGCGTCTCTGCGCGCTCTCGCCGCTCCCTCTGCTCTCCCCAGCTGCCCCTGCCAGCCCCAGCTCGCGCGGGCGGCGGGCGTGCTTTTCTCGCCCCGCGCTAGCGTCGGCGGGAGGGCGGGCAAAGCGCCCCCGCCTACTGCCCGCAGCAGTACTTCGTGCGGTACTTGGGCGGGTGCTTCTGCCAGAGCCACACCTTCTTCGCCACCCAGGAGGGCAGGCGGTCCGCGACCGCGTTTGCGGAGCGCCCCCACCACTCCTCCCACGCCCGGGGGCGCTTCTCCGCGGCGGCCAACGCCTCCTGAAGACCAACTGGAGGAACGGGCAGAGGGCGCAGCAGGGCAGCAGCAAGGCGCAGCAGGGCGGCAGCAGGGCAGCAGGTCCTCAGCCTTCTGTTTCTGCCTGTTCCGCAAGTTGGTCTCCCGTTTCTGCTTCCAGAGCAGCTTCTTCTGGTCGAAGAGGGCGGTGTTGGCTTGCTCCAGCTGGTCCTACGGGTTTTACACCAGGTTTCGTGCGTGTGGGGGCTGCGGGGCAGCAGCAGGGCGCAGCAGGGCAGCAGCAGGGCGCAGTAGGGCAGCAGCAGGGCAGCAGCAAGGCAGCAGCAGGGCAGCAGCAGAGCGCAGCAGCAGCTGTTGAGGGAAAGCGCAGCGGGGCAGTGGAGTTTGATATGCACCCGTGTCCTTGGTCTCCAAGTACATCGCGTGTAGGTCGTTGCGCTGCTTCGTCGCCCTGTTTTTCTGCCGCAGCGCCTCGGCGACCGCTTTGTCCACGGCCTTGTCAAACCTAGCTTTCGCACGGTGCTTGGCCTCCTTTGCCTTTAGCGTTTTCACTCTTTGTTTGTATTTATAATTGGCCGCGATCTTCCGATCCTACTCGGCCGTGCCCCAGGGAGGGTTGCCCATGGCTGCCTGGCGCCAGCGGCGCTTCAAAGGGCGGCTTGGACCTCGATTGCAATTGCGGCCAAAGGAAATGCAACACCAATGAATCAATGAAGATGGCATGGATGATAAATGAAATCGCTCATCTAACCTAGCTCCCCCTCCTCCTTCTCATCATCCTTGCTCGGCGCGTTTCGTTCCTCATCCTCTGCAGTCCTCTTCCTCCTCCTCCTCCTCCGCATCATCGTAATCGCCGTCATCATCACCACCAACATCATCATCGTCACCGTCATCATCATCGTCATCGTCATCGTCATCGTCATCATCGTCGGGATCGCACTCGTCTTATCTAGCTCCCCCTCCTCCTCCTCACTCATCCCCTTCCTCCTCG